TTTGTTTATACTTTGCATTATATACAGTGAAAGACAAAATAAAACAACTACCTTTTTATAAAAAATTTTAAAAATATTTCATATGTATTCTATATCAAAAAAATCGTATCAGTATTTTGATTAAGTATCATAAAATCATTATTAAAACACAATATCGTTTCTTTTCATTTTCCCAACATATTACTATACCTACACTATATATTCTCTATCACTGCATTTTAAACAAATTCAAACGATACATTGTATATGTAGTTAACGATATTTAAGTAAATCCATTGTTATTCTTTCAAATACAATTCCTTACTACATACATACATATGTATATTTATAACAAGGAATATAACGAATAATGTACCAGTACAAAATATAAATGAAATATTGTAATATTTTTTTAAACCAAATCGCAAGAAAAGTATAAAGAGAAAAGCTCCTAACCCCTGTATTTACATAGAAGTATTCATACATGTATGTATGTTATTCAATATTATCTACCTGATATTTTTTTCTTTCCATCATATCAACTTATGACTCGTTACTACTTTTTCATTTATATCACACAAGTGGGAGTGTTAAATCGACTTAAGATTATAAGATGCTAACAAACATACAACCATGTACATATATACATATGAAGATTCTAATAAATATGTATACATGGGCAATTTCATGTCAATTGACCCAACTCAAAGAATAGATTTTGACGGAATTTGCACCAAATAGTAAGTACTAGGTCAGACTAAAATTTTTAGCTCTATCGGTCAAGAACTGCCCGAATAAGAGGGGGTCAAAGTTGGACATTTTGGTCATACAGGGTTTTATTCAAATGACTGTAACTTTTCACCTATTGGTCCTAGCAAAAATTGTCCAAAGGAGTTCAAATAGCTATTTCTTCATTCTTTTCGTTTTTTGCTTAAACAAAAGCTTATACAATTTCCTTGAACTCAAACTCAAGAATAATTTTTTTTCAATATTTGGCACTTAATTTTCCCCTATATGTTCAAAATGAACGTTTTAGTTGTATGTTTTTTACTCAAAAGAAAGCTTAGACCATTTAAAAAACTTTAAAATTGTTTTTCTCAATATTTTTATTTTGCGGCATGCTGAGTTACCTCAATAAGCTCTTCATATGTACATACATATATTTTATAATTCGCAAACTGTTTAAACAATCGATTTTCAAATTCTTTGCATCCGGTTAAGAAAAATTAAAAGAGGTCAATAAATTTACTTTTTCACTTATACAGCTAAAACCAGAAATTTGATGGTTGAAGATTTAGCGCATCTCATTTCTTACACATGATATACGTAGAAAAGTTCTAGAAAATTTACTCTCATGAAAAATGGAATTTTTTTAATCAGAAATTAGTATTGTGTTTTAAAGCATCTTTAAAACTTATAAAAAAATATCTTTAAGTTGCATACACATTAAACTTTTCCCTCATTTATATTCCCCTTACTCAGTGTCCTTGTAATAACTTTTAAGACTTACAAACTTCTTTGCCTGTCTTCTCCCTCCCCACTTTCAATATAATTTTATTTGAGTTTTTTCTTTATCTTAATATTGTTTGACTTATTGATAACTTTTATTTTCCAATATAAAAACAGCAAAGCATCTTATCATCTATAAAAAACATACTTTGGTCGTAAAAACACTTACTTACTAGTATCATTTAATAAAATGAAAGTACATAAAATAATATCAAATACTAATAATAATGATACAAGAAAAACAACAACAAGAAGAAGAAACGATGAATGACAAACTTATTGATGGCATATGATGATTATTTCCATAATTTTTCGCAGAATTGCATAAAATGTTGATATATTTGATAGATACTTTTAAAAACAAGTGTTACCTATTAAATACAGACAACGAGAAAGTGATAGGAGCCCAAGAAATTTGTGACTTATCTTAAGAGGTGGAGATGATGATATAAGACTGTATTAAAGGTCTATAAAATGATAAAGCAAATTTTATGGATGCGTTTGATATTTTTGTAAAGATTGTGAGTTCTTAAAATAAATATAAATGAGAATGGGAAAATTTTTTGAAAATTAATACAAAAAAGTTAAAAAACTTAAGATAATTTTATGTAATTTTTGTATCCCGTAAGTTAGATAACACTTAAGGGAAAAGATGCTATCTTAATGTGTTTAATAGTATATAATATTTAAATAACTAGATATACGTATGTTAATACATTAGGGTGGATCTGTGTCTATGGTGAATAGATCTCATTTTAAGTTAAACTTTTTCAAAATTTTTATCATGGATCTAAGCATCAAAAGGTAATTTTAAAAGTTTTTTAAGGTAAAAAATTAAATTTTGAAAGCTTCTCCAAGAGGTGATTTCAATTGCGTATCAGAATTTTTAAAAAATTTTCGGAAAAAATAAATTTTTAATATTATATAATTAAACTGAAAAACCATTTCGGCAAAATTATATGATATTTAATATGTGAAATTTACAAAAATTTTATAAAAGTTATAACCGAACCCAACATTCCTTCCTTAGGAAATGCGTTTTTAAAGATCTCATGTAGAAATACCTCTCAATCAATTCATACTGAACACGAGAAAAATAAAAAATTTTATTACGTTCTTATTTGTTTAAAACCTTAATGATTTTAAACAAACTATTATAACTATAAAAAGCAAACATCGAGAGAAAGTATACAGCTTATCTTTAAAAATATCATTCTTCTTATTTTATTAGTTATTTGTCTTACATATGGATGCAAAAGCCCAGATATACATACATATATGTTCATTAACAAATTTTGTGAAGCAGACAAACAAACCATAAATAGGAACAAAACAACCATAAATATAAAATTTCCATTGACTTTTCCTTTCTGTCATTTTGGGACTAACTAACTTGAGTGCTAATAACAGATGTGTGTTTCTTAAGATATTTGTACAATAATTACAAAATCTTAAATATGTTTTTCTCTAGTATTTCTACTTATTTAGCAGAATTCCTTAAATATTTTTGATTAATTACTTACACAATCCTATAATTATGATTAATGAAGTATATATGTTTTATGTCTCTGAATTGTTTTTAAGTATGGTTAAATATTTACTGGTACGTGAGTTTTACCCCAACAGGAAAGGAAACAAAATATTTAAGATACATACATGCTAGAGCAAATGAGAAACCAAAATGTCTTATAGTTACTATTAACAAATATTATAAAGTATTAAGACATTAGTTTATAGCAACATACATACATATGTACATGTTTGTATACATGTACGTATAAATGATGGGTATGTTTTTAGATATAATATATGGACTATAATCAGTTAATATATCACCTGAAACGCAAACGGCCCTAACTAACCAAAAATTCGAAATCGATTTTATTGTTGATTATAATGTATTGCATCCAAATAAATGTCCACACAAGACCAAAAAACGAAAGGACCTATCTACAAAAACATTTAAATATTAAAGGTAAAAAGTCCAATATATCCATTTTTACAAACTTTTCAATTTAAATAGTTTTTTGCTTCTCCTGTAAAATTTTAAAAATGTTAGAAAGGCCGTTTGCCCCAAGGTTAGTACTATTGGATAGTAGGACAGAGACAAATTTTCAGCTCTATCGTTCAAGAACTGCCTTACGTAGAGAGGGTCAAAGTTGGATATTTTGGTCATACACGGTTTTATTCAATTGAGTGTAACTTTTCACCTATTGGTCCTAGCAAAAACTGTCCAAAGGAGTTCAGATAGCTATTTTTTCATTGATTGCAGACATATTTTTAAATTTTATAAATTAAAAAAAAAAAACGAAAACGTCTATTTTGAGAAATAGAAATAGCTATCTGAACTCCTTTGGACAATTTTTGGTAGGACCAATAGGTGAAAAGTTACATTCATTTGCAAAACAAACCTCAATAACCACATGGGAGGTCATCGATTTTAAAAGTTGGGTCACTTGACAAGAAATTGCCCATATGGGAAAATTGTATAACTCTCGCATAAAGTCATAATGAGCTGTAACGGTTTAACTCGTCACAGTCTTGAAAAATGTAGATATCTGTATAAATATAAGTTAGGACTTACAAATAGTTAAGGATTAAAAATATACAATTCATCACCGTCAAAAAACCTTCTATAGAAGTTTCTACCATTTATCCGTATTTAAGTGTGTGTGAGTGGGTTTGTATATATTTGAAAAGGAGAGGAGAGAGTAAATATCATTATTATATTACAAAAGTCAGGGACAAATTACAAATACAACAAACAAACAGTTCCAACTAACACATTAGATAGACAACCAACTACTTTTAGCAAAAGGCAAAAAGTAAAATTAAATAAAAAACCATATGCCACATTAAATCTTAATAGCATTTTTGGGTAAAATATTTTTTCTTGTTTTTTTCTCACCCTCTATTTTTGTCTCTATTATATTTTATTTTAACTTAAACAAACAATAAAACAAATTATTAAAGGACAATTTAGCAACACAATGAAACTGAAAACGAAACGTAACGTTATATTTTTTGTAAAAAAGGGAAACTGTTGATACTTAACAAAAGCAGACAAACCGACTTACCACACCAACATAACGACAAACACATTCCTTTGTGTGCGGGTCTATAACTTTCCCTTTTTTTACTCTCTGCGCTATTCCCATACATCTCCAAAATATAATCCAATTTGTTGCTAACGCTTAACAAACCCTAGTCATAGTGTTTTAAAATAAAAAAAAAAGTTTATAAAAAATCTGTTTTTAAATGTTTTAACCATTTTCATAACTTTATTGTGCACCAAAGAGGAGATTTAAAAGTAAATATTATTTTTTATGGTTTAGAAAAGTGTATTTAAGTATGTGTTTAGCATAAATAGTAAAAATATAAAAAGTATAGTAAAAAAGTGGAAACAACTTTTCCCTGTTTTCATTTAAGCTTAAATTGTATTTAATTTCCCTTTTTGTATGTTTTCAAAAAAAAAATTTATTTAATATTTGTTCATCTCCTTTCATTTTCAGATGGTCGTATGGGTTTGTCCATTTTACCTATTGCTGCTCTTTTAACTGGTACACTATTTACTGTAGGCATAGCTGTACTATTTGTTGTTGTAGTGGCTGTACGAAAGAGGCGTTGTCAGGGTGGTCGTAATATGTGTGATGACAAGGACAAACATTTAGGTATGTATCATTCATTGTATTGTAAATATATGTATGTCTGTATGTGAATTTTTCTATTTCCATCAAAAATTTACGCACATACATACACGAATTCATATATTTGTACGTTTCTACCCATATTTCAAAACTTCTATTATATATTCTAAAATAAATACTTTTTTAAAGTGATATATAAATATTTGTAATCGGTTACTGAATACAATAATTGATATCTCTTGGAAATATTAATTAAATATATGAATTTGTGCTAAATGTATTTTCATTAATGAAAGTGGAGAGTGTATATTAGGTTTGTGCTGGTATTTGTAACGCATAAAATATTGATCCTATACCCTATCTTTAAGTATACCAATCAGCTTAGAATAATTTTCTGAGTCGACTGTCGTCCAAATAACCAATAAAATCAAACAACAGGTTGCAATTTTGAAGATAATTTAATGAAATATGGTACATGATCTTCTATTGTAATAGGGAGCCTACTGAAAATGATTAACATCGGTCAATTATTTCACCTAGCCCCTATACAACTGAACCTCCAAATAGAGCTTTTGAGCTCATAATTATGTATGTTTAAAATACTCGTATCTCGTCAAACTAAGTTTTATTCTATTTTGCAATGATCGGGTCTCATTGACCATAGCTCTCATACAAAGCCCCTTTCAGACTTAAATGCAGGCATGGGGGGTAATGACTATATTTTCAATTACAATTACATTTGAAGTAATTGTAATTGAAGATTCGCCATTTACAATTACTTGTAGTTGTAATTGAAGTTTATCCAATTACAATTATTTGTAATTGTAATTGAAGTTTCGCCAATTACAATTACTTGTAATTGTAATTGAAGTATTGCCAATTACAATTACTTTTAATTGTAATTGAATAATTTCCAGTTACAATTAATTGTAATTGTAAATTTTGTTCCTTATAATTACATGTAATTTCGTAATTAGTAATACTTAAATTACAATTACAAGTAATTTTAATTGAAAACATCAATTGCAATTACAAGTAATTGTAATTGGTAAAACTTTAATTGCAGTTACAAGCAATTGTAGTTGGTTATTGGTCAATTACACATTACAAGTAATTGTAATTGGAAAAACTTCAATTACAATTACAAATAATTGTAATTGGTTATTTCTCAATTACACATTACAAGTAATTGCAATTTACCATGTAGTGAATTACTCTGTGTAATCATTACCTCCCATGCCTGCTTAAATGTCCACAATTTATGAGGATCGATCCATATTTCGCCCAAGCCACCATATAAAACCTCTGTCAGAAACTTAGTGTTCCAACACTTTAGTATATCGGAGGCAAGGTACAATACAACTTAAATGCTTTATTATGAAATGAAAATCACATTTTATTCTCATAACAGGTGTAGGGACTTATATTGTCCTGGCCTGGTCCGATTACAATTTCATACTTGTCTGATTTATTGATCTGTCAATTTATTCACAATTCACAATCTTTAATATGCATTAAACGAAATCACAAAGATTATTTTTAATATATATTTACTTAGTCACGTCTTTTGGAATAACAAGATAGTTTATTCGCATTATTATTAAGTCTACGATTTTTTTAAAGATATCAACATCACTATTGACATATTTATTTCTATAACTTTTTATTTCTATAAAAAATCTAAACAACATTTCTACCTTTCAATATTTGCATGCATTTTATTGAATATTTACTTTAATAAAAAAACAACTTTCAGGCATGGATGTTACCGTTACAGCCCCTCTAGAGACTGGACCCGGTCATCAACGTTTAGTTGTGGCGTATACTCTAAAACAAGGCATCGAAAAGCAACCGGATATATTGAGCGCTCAAAAAAATGCAACTGGTAGTGCAACGTCATCGCCATTAGGAAATCGTCCAAGTGGTATATTCATAGATACAAATACCAGCAATGGTGGCGTGGGCTCAAAAGCAACAAATTATGCCAATACTAATGGTGCTGTGGGTGGTGCGGGTAATAATTCATCAACAGGAAACTATGTAAGTTTTGAAATTTTTGTGCATTTTTTAATCCATAACGTTAACATAAAACATGTTATGCACAAAAAGTATCCTCTGGTGGTTTAGGAAAATATAAATTTGGAAAAAAAAGAATACTGAAAAAAGGAACTTTCTGTAGAAAAACAAATATATATTTGCATAAATTTACATATTCAATAAATATTGTTTTTTTCATGTTTATAGGATTCACCTTCGTTGAACTACACTGACAACAGTTCCGATCCTCTGCAACAGCAACTCAATAGCCCTCCCTCACAATCGAGTACCCTTAAGCTGGGTCAAGATTCTAGAAAACCATATCAAACACCTCCACTATTATACGATGCTCTTAATCGTCATGATATATCACGCTATGATCCCCTACCCTTAAGTATGAATTATGGTGGCAGTAATAGTACATTAAGTTCTGGTGGTAGTGCTGGCAATAATTCACTCACCAACACAGCAACAGCATCATCGGTAATGCAAAACAATTTAACCAATGGCCACTATACAAATCATCATACATTGCCACATTCAAGTGCGGCATTACAACAACATCAATTGCCATCAACCCATCATACTTTAGGCTCTGAGAAACTATCAATTGCCGATTACCTCACTGCCAGCAGTTTAATTGACTATAATCTAAGTAAATCAGCAACGGGGATGTTAACGAATGCCATGGTTGGTTCCGGTTGTGGTGCGGGAGGTGTTTCAACAAATCCCTCGTCATCCTCGGCCACAACAGCCAGCTCTATGGGTCATATGACCTTACCCAAAGGTTTAGGTTTAGGTTCTATAATAGGTGTTAATAATGGCTCAGCCACTGTACCCACATCGACTCTAACACCTTCAGCTTCCACAAATCTATCGATGACACAAAAATCTACCGCTAATCGTAATCATATTATAACAGATACCCTACCGGGTCCTGAAAGTTGTGTTTAAATATAAATTTAGAGTTTTAACATAACTATTATTAACAAAAAAATACTTTATCATAGTTGTATATAAAACAAATTTTTAAGAAAAGACTGCAATAAACTAAATAATTAAAAAGAAAATTATATATGAACTAAAAAGGAAACTCTTAAAAAAAGAGCAAAATAAATACAATATAAAAATATATAAAAAATACATTAGTTGAATGCATTTTTATGTAAAGGAAACTTAATATTCCTATTAAAATGGTAGTTTTTTAATTATGAACAAAAAGTAAAATACACAAATACAAAAGGAAACGATGCTTAAAATGTACTTATTTAATACTAAAATAAATATTTATGAACATTTTTGAATAAAACGAAACAAAAAATTAAACCCAGTTGGAAATTTTACTTATCCGTAGGCTTAATCCGTTTGTTGATAATATCCAAACGATTTTATATCATAAAAAAGATTTTTAAAAATTTTCAAATTATTTAAGGATTCACGACAATATATAGGCCACACAGGAGGTCTTCATGCTATCAATTCATTCAACTTAAACTTATCAAAATTACTATAACGCCTTCGAGCTTCCAGAAGTAGGTAAAAAATTGCCACTGTGCCATGAAGGCCATGCTGGAAATGAACGATCCGATTATATGTCCAAAAACCATAATCATTATTGTGGTCAGATAATTACTGAATTTGAATAATTTACACATAATCTTCCTCATTACCAACCAAAAAAATCCTACTGGGTTTAAATTTGTTTCATTTACACCTAAGTTCCATACACAATTACACAAACAGATATGACATGAAATGAATATATAAAGTTTATTGAAATCTAACTTAAATTATAAAACCGAAAATTGAAAAACGAACTAAAATTATAAACAAATATAAAAATAAAATTATATAAAAAACCAAAAATGTGTAACTATATAAAATAATGTGAATATAATGAGAATTTTTTTATTTGATTTTTAGTTCCGAAACATTAATACATACATATGTTAAATATTATATAGTCTATATAAATTAGTTGAATGTTAGTAAGATAATTGAAAATCCCCTAAGAAAAGAAATAGTAAATAAATAAATTTTATTATTATGGTTTATAAAATAAATGAACAAAAACAAATAATAAATAAAATATTTAAAAAAGGAGAACAATACCAAATTGTTTTCAATTTGTACAAATAGCCAGAATTACAAAAAAAAAAAAAAAATAAACTATATTAAACTCCCCTCCCAAGCAAAAAGGATTAAAGATACAAAAACAAATTGCTTAAAAGCAAAACAACATATACATAAGTACATACAAACATATATACATATAAATAAATTCTTAGTTTAAGTAAATATGTAAGTATAAGTATTTGTACTTAAATATGTAAGAATAACTTTCTCTCTTTATATGTTTGTTGTAATAACATATCTCTAAGTTGTGAACAAAAATATATTGTAATATTAAATATTATAAATATTTATATAAATAAATACTATGTATATACAAAAAAAATACAAATAAGTATACATACATATACATATATACAAAAACATACCTATCAACATATCCTTAGGTCATATCCTTTTTTTTTTAATTCTTCATCAATTTTCAATACTTAACTTTACATTTTGTAAGTATTTATATTCATTTTACAAGTTTTCTTGTTTATTTCCAAAATGTACTTTTTAAATTAAATTAAAATAAATAATAAATATATAAAATAAAAAAAACAAAGCCTGATTTTATATACCTCCTAATTGTAAAAAAAACGTAAAATAATCCTTAAATATTATACATTTTTTTTAATCTACACAATTGATACTTTTGTTCAACATATCTTAAACAAAAACTGCCTTCAGCTATTTATTTATATTTCTATTCTCTTGTTGTTATTTAAATACAATATAATACTTATACATTTTAAGCAGAAATTATTTCTTGTATTTTTGTAATCTTAATTATTGCAAAAAATAACACTTTTACTGCCCAATTTATATACAATTCTAGAGGGTATTTGATTTTCTTTGTAATATCATGCCAAACGTCATATTAGTAATTTGATTGAAGGTTGTAAAACAATTTCATAAATTTAAACAAGTCAGTCTTTCAACTACACCTATCCTTTGTTTTACACGGTCCCCGTTTTAAATGATGTCGCTTTAACACTACATAATTTTATTTATTTATACAGGGGTCTACTATAATGATTTTATTTATAAAAAATAATGTGTTGTGAAATGATTTAGTTTTAAAAATCAGTTAAATATTTATTAACATATTTTCTTAATTAAGTCTCTTAATTGTTTTACTTTAAGTATCAGCTACAATTTAACATCACTATGTAAAATCTTATGAAGTGAACAACAGTATACGTACACAGAGGGAAAAAGAAATATACACTCCTGGTACCAAATTGACATCAAAGATTTTATAGCTTTTCATTAACATCCGTTGTCAAAGTATATATATAGGTACGACAACACTATGTAATGTTGACAACCCAACGTTGTCAACATTACAACAATTCGTTGTCCAAATCTAAATTGTATACATATCAGTATTGTTTGTCAATAGTGAGCTTACCACGTTTGTTAACATTTAGACAATGTTGTCAACATTATATAGTGTTGTCATACGTATTTATATACTTTGACAACGGATGTTATTGAATAAAATATAAACCTCTGTGTATGTATATCATTTCTTCCAAATTAATTTAAAGTAACAATTGCTTTAATATATTGTTCTTCCAATATTTACATTTAGAGTAAAATTTCCATTCATACATACATAATGAAAATACATTTCGTAGAAAAGGTTGAGGATTTTAACCTCTTTAGACCACAGATACACATTTGTGTAATTTAGATAATTTCGTTTTATAAAATGTACAGGTACATTTATGTTACTATACGGTAACTTACATATCTTATTTCCTATTTTCCTCTCAAAGTTGGTAAATTGATATTTTTAAATCTCATAAATAGTTTAGGGGAATCAATATAAAAATAGACAGAAAGTTATATACTATTTCGGAAAACTTGATTTGCTAATTCGTTATAAATCTTTACTTGCGATTTTAAAAATAGTACACATATGACTCATTTTTGACAAAAATTTTACATAACATCATGTGTTGTCTATCACAATAAAAAAGCATTAAAAAAATCTTAGATATTTCCGGGAACCATATTTATGTTTTCAAAACCACAATATCGGTATATGAATATAACAGATGTCATCAAAATTCTGAAAAAATTCATATAATTTTTTAATTCAACAATTTGATATTCTAAAAGATCAAAGTGTGAAAACCCTAATACATATACACATAAGTATTTTTAAATAAGAGTTAGGTTGATAGGAGGATGTATACATCGAATCCGTAGAAGACCTAGGCTACTATCGGGCCTGGTGTGCGCTCCTTTTCATGAAAAAAAAAAAAAAATTGTTCACAGAATGTATTATTTTTCAATGTTCAGAAACTCAGTTTCCTGGAAATAATTTCTAAGAATTTTCCAATCAGTGTTAGTCATGTTATTTTCGGAATAACATCACTTGTAAGATACTTGGATCTAACTTCGACAAATGCCTGACAGTAGCAAAGTAAGTGCTCCAGAGTTTCACTGTCCTCTCTACATTATCTACATTCGTCTGAATCCGCTCGTCCAATTTTGTATAGATGTGCTCGTAATCTTGTGTGTCCATACGGAATACGTATCATCATACTAACCTCAGACTTGCTCAGTTTGAGGAGATTTCTCGCCTTGCTCTAATAATTAACCTTGCCTCTGGGAGAGTATTCAGTTAAAGCTTTCATACAATCCAATACGCTCTTAAATTTAATTATATCACCTGATATCGCCCTAATTGCCTTCTGGGTGTCGGAAAATATATTAAGTCCTGTGTACGCCATATTGATTCTAACCAAATTTACACATTATGTCATTGCTTGCACTTCTGCCTGGAAGCTAGTGTTATGATTAGGTAAACGATGGTATATTTCTGTTTCTGGATCTTCAATGCAGAACCCCAGGCCCACTTTGTCCCCCAATTTAGAGCCATCCGTATAGCAACGATTTCCTACTGGTATTTGCTCTACTTTTCCGCTTGATCAAGACATTCTATCTAGGATCAAAGTTTCCGACATATGTATTCTGACTGGTACGCGATCAGATGACGTGTCTTATAACCGCTTTTGGCTAGTTCGCCTAAAGTAAAGAGCCGTTCGGCTGTAAGAGCCGCCTTATATCCAAAATATATTTCAATGGGTGGAATATCTATCAATATTTCCAGAGCCTTGGTTGAAGTAGTACACATGGCACCATTTATACTCAAGCAGCATGTACGCTGAACTCCCTGTAGTAGTTTAATATTTCACTTTTTGTCCAAAGCAGTCCACCAGATTATTGAAGCATAAGCTTCAGTAAAGTACATAGTTATATACCTCTTATAGCCATATCGTATTTAAAATTACAATTAAAACAACATTTCATTCAAATAAGAGCAATCTTAGCAAATTAAGTATATTAAAAGGATAACAAATATTCCCTTTAAAAACCTTTTCTCCCATATTCTCTATCCACTTTCGATTTCAACAACAATTATTTAAGATATTTATAACAAAAGTTGTTCATAACCAACATATTTTAATATCGTGGCCATTTTACAAAAAAATATGTAATTTTATTGGTAAAGTAAAAAATATGAAAAAGGCATGGAAAACGAATATGGAATCAACAATTGTATTGAAAAATTTGTTGTATGTATATTGTTCTACGTAAAGGTCAAGCCATCACAAAATACAAAATGCATATAAAAATGTGATTTTTATGTACCCCTCAAAAAACACCCATAGTCAGCAAACAGAAAGTAATAAAAACATGAAAAAAGTCATCACAAGTACAAAGAAATGGAAAAGTACATACACAGAACAATGAAAAAATTTTAACGATTTAACTACAAAAAAAAAATCCATTTAACATGAGTAGTCAATGTTCAATTTTGCTCGAAATAAAATAAAATTCAAACCAATGGGTGAGAGTAGGCTATAGTCCACTACTTATGACAATATCTTCATGAACTTTATAACAGAATGAAGGCTAAAAAACAAGGCGCAAGTTATGCATAAAAGGATAAAGAAAAAATTCAACATAAAAATCATGACAATAAATGCAAAACTTTTGAATATGCGTGTAAAGTGATTTATTTGATTTAATTCGTTTAAATTGTAGTAAATGGTAATTTGATTACAACATCATATGTACTTATTTAAGTCTATACAAACTCACACATGTACATGTTGTTCATTTATTGAATCAAATGGAAAATATTTAACATTTCTTTGAATAATGTTTTATTTGAATATTATGTTTTTCAAAAGAAAAACTATAAATTGTATGTTCATAATTAAGTCGTAAAATGTATAAAATTTGGATTTATTATTTAATTTAAAATTATTATACTTACACATAATTTTGTTTATTGTCCTTTGAAATCATAATTTTATTATTTATGTATGTATATTTTACTACAAATATAAATGTCACATATACATAGTACATAAATACATACATATATACGTAGATAAACCATTAAATTAAAATCATTATAATTAGTGCAATAATCGTAACTTAACATGTACTTATGTATGTAAGTCAGTTTGTTTATAATTTTCTTTTAAAATATTTTACTTAATATAGGTAATTGAAAATCCATATTAATTAGTTGTAATTAATCTTGTAAATATTTAATTGTTTTAATTTTCAAAGTGTGTGAAAATGAAAATGCTTAAAATTATTTGTGATAAAAGTCTAAGTTATGTAAGTAATAAAATATAAATTAAAACTAAATGAAAAACATTATTAAGAAACAACAAAAACAAAAAAAA